GGGGGGGGGCACCCGCAGCCCCCAAAATGGGCGATTTTCGTCCTTTTCAGGCATTTTGACGCGTTCCAGTGGCGTGAGGCTGATGCGCTGGGCTCCTCGGGGGGGGGGGCAGAGGGGGGGTCCTGAAGGAGCCCGGGATCAGGTATTGCCCACAGCCCTGCCTGGCACCGCACTCCCCCAGGGTGACGGCGCTGACATCACGGCCACCGCGCTGACATCACTCAACTACTTGAGGGCGTAGCCAGGGCCGGCGCTGCTTCTCCCCCCAGCTGAAAGGGTACTGACAGCGGAGGGGTCAGGACAGCGGCAGCGACTCCTCATTTAACGAAGCTCCGGCTAATTAGCGAGGGCCAAGCGTAAGGATTTTAAGATCCATTTGTCATCATCCCCCCCTGCCGCTAACGACCACCTCCAGCCCCAGCAGGAACTTTTGAGAGGAGCCCTAGATTAATTACTTCCCGGTGAAAGGGTAGCATCCCTGCTGACGAAGGCGTGAGTATTTAATGACCCACTGGTCATTAACGATCTCCTCGTTACCCCATCCAAGCTACGTCGCCGGTCTTCGGTATGCGCCGGACATAACGCCAACAGCCAGCAGCGGTTGGGAGGGGAGGCGAAACGTCAGTCGACAGAGCGCGTTTGCCAGCGGAAAACGTTTTTGGGGTGGAATTGCCTGAATACGGCACCTGCCTGTGAGTGTAAAGGCGACGTCACCGGCACGGTAATCTCCGGCACCGGTGCCTCTGCCGGGTGCGTCGCCGAGTTCTGGTGGTGGGACGGAAATGAGGGGGCAGCTGGGGGAGAGGGTCTCCCCCCAAAAGCCACCCCTCGAGCAGACATCACCCTGGTCACCACAAAACCCCTCGGTTCGCCGCCGACGGTGTTTGCCACGCTGCGCGGCGCGGTAAAATCCCGGTGTGTGTGTCCCCAGCACCGGGCCTGCGAGAAGCAGAAGTGGATTTTTAGAGGTGAAACAGCCGGGGCTCATCCTCACCACGAGGTTCGTGGTGCCTTGGAGGGCTCCTCGGTGAGCTCCCGGCCCAGCAGAACCGGTGCCGCAGCCTGCCGCGTCTCCGCGACCCTCACGCCGGCAGAGAGGAGGTAAGGGAACGGCGCAGAAACCCCTATTTTTCGGTGCATGAAGTAAGAGCGGAGGCGCTTGTGGTATTTGGGGGGAAACCGGCCCCAAGGAGGAGGTTTCCTCGTCACTGAACTCTTTACGCCGATTTAGAACGCTCCGGCAACATCTCGCCGACACACCCAGACGGAAGGGAATACCTTAGACACCGTCAGAATTCCCTCCAGTGCCATTACTGCCGGCTAAGCGAGGATTTTTCCTATCTTGCTCTGGTTTAACCCCAGACTCCCCACCTGAGCGCCCGGGGAAAATTTTAGGACCAAAAAAATGCTACGAAACTCCCGTGGGCAGCGACCGGCGGCGGCACCGGGCCCCTCTAAAGCAGAAGAGGGGTGACAACGCCGTCACCGCCACCGGCCTCGCGTCACTAAGAAGGGTCTGACCTCGCGTTTAATGCCAGAATTTTAATGGGGTAGGTCCCTCGTGTGTGCCCCCCGCCCCGGGAGGATCCTGCATCCTTAGGGAAAAAAGCGTTGCCAAAGCCGTCCCTCACCGGTCCAATCCCCCCCAGCCCCAGCCGGAGATCGGATTTGAGACCCACCTGCCTCATTTTAAGGGTCCTCGTCCCCCCGTGTCCCCCCCTCCAAACCTGTGCAAAGGCAGCCATGGCAGATGTAAACTCCAAGAGAGTATCTCAGTTCTTGCAGAAATGCGTTAAGCCGGAGGACAAGGGTGGAGAGACGTGGCCGAAGGAGGAGGTGACGGAGGAGCCAGCTCTCCCTCTCGTCCCGCAGTCCTACCCGCGGACAGTACAAGGTACGTGTGCCGTTTGGGCTTTTTTTCCTTTTTTTTTTTTGCCCCTCCAAAAAAATAGCAGCATCTGAACATGGTACACGGCAGCCACCGTGAGGCTTCCTCCCGACAGTTGCCTCCGGTTTAGGATAACGCATGGGGCTAGAGGACAAAGATCCAAAGTGAGGTTTCAATTAAAATTTGAGGCGACGTTGCATTGCGTTTTGTCTCCTCAGAGGAAATCTCGATGGTCTTCAACACCTACAACATGGCGGCAGCCAACCTCGGGCCATCGTCCAGGAGGAAAAGAGAGAAAGGCGGCGGTCAGGAGGGCACCAGCACCGCACTCTACGTCGACCGTCGCAAGTCCAAGGTGTGGAACTATTACACCAAGCTGGGAGATGCCTACGTGGAGTGCAACGTCTGCAAGAAACAGCTCTCCTTCCACAACAGCACTACCACGATGCGGGAACATCTAGTGAGGAAGCACAGCATCCGCGACACCTTGCTCTCCCAGCTCAAGGACGACCAGACTTCCGAATCCGACTACGTGGCTCAGGAAAATGCCGCCAAACGCTCTCGGCAGACGACGCCAGAAAGCAGCCTCTACCACGCCGCATCCTGTTCAGAACCCAGGACCGATGTGATCCTGGAGCTGGTGCTGGAGATGATCTTCCGTGACTTGCACCCTCTCTCCGTGGTGAAGGACAAAGGGTTCGGGCTCCTCATCGGGTACCTGGAACCAAATTTTACCCTCCCGTCGCCCGTGCAGCTCTCCAGCATGCTGTGGCACCGGTACAACGTGGTCAAGCAGCACCTGGAGCGCTACTTGCAGACAGCTCAGGCCATCGTGGTCTGCGTGGAGTTCTGGGTTTCCCAGCTCAGCCAGACTTACCTGACCGTCACGGCCAACTTCATCGACGGGGAGTGGCGGCGGGCCCGGTGCATCATGGAGACGCAGCAAGCACACGAAGACAAAGCGGAGGAGGGCGATTTAGGGGAGAAACTGTCCGCTGTCCTCTCCGAATTCGGCTTGTCCAGCAAATCCGTCTTCTGCGTTATGCATGACAGCCCGCAGAGCACGGCAGCGAACTCGCAGCAGCTGAAGAACGCGTACGGCTGGAGCAGCCTGTGCTGCGCCGCTCGCACCCTTCACCTCTGCATCAAAGCGGGGCTGGAAGTCGAGCAGGTCCAAGAAGCCCTGAGCACTGCCCGGGGTATCGTCAGGTACTTTCAGCAGGACGCAAAAGCCACCTGCTCCTTGAACAGCAAGCTGGAAGCCATCAACAAAACCAAACTAAAACTGGTGATGGACGTGGGCTCTCGCTGGATAACCACCATCGAAATGTGCGAGAGTCTCTTAGACCTGAAGTGGGCCATCATGTCCGTGCTGGAGGAACACCCCAAGGGCACGGCGGCTGTCCAGAATTTGGCCGACCACCAGTGGAAACTCCTGCAGGACCTGGTACCAGTCATGAGGACGATCAAGATCGCAACGTCCTTCCTGCGCGAGGAGCAGAACGCGTCCGTATCGTCTCTGATGCCTTGCATCCACGGGATCATCGCCGCCATCGGACAGCAGTCGGAAGAGTCCGGCGCCGTCATCAAGACAGTGGTAGGCAACATCAGGTCAGAGCTGACGCAGCGCTGGGGGTTATCAGAGGATGAGAAAGTGCTAGAAAGCCCAGCGGTTATTGCCTCTTTTTTGGACCCGCGCTTCAAGGAGATGAGGTTTCTCAGCCCCAGCCTGAGAAGCGAGCTGCACAAGAGAGTCAAAAACATGCTGTCGCAGGTTTTCAATCACCAGTCCCCATCTGCTACCCAGTTTTGGATGCCAAACTTGGATTACAAAGCCGAGGGCGGAGATGCGGGCAGCCAGCTGTCTGCTCACAAGGACAGATGCTCGAGCGCCCCGTCACAGAGCATGTACGACATCCTTTTGGGGAAGGACCCGACAGAGAGCATGCCGGAGATCCACCAACAACTGGAAAACTACATCGTGGAGCCTCTCTGCAAGCGCAGCACCAACCCGCTGGACTGGTGGAAGAACAACGAGCATCGCTTCCCGGCCGTGGCGCGGCTGAGCCGGCAGTACCTCGCCGTCCCAGCGACTGCCGTGCTGCCCGACCAGGCTTTCGCTGCCGGTGAAAGCAGCCTGGAGCATCGGCGAGCCGTCCTGGCGCCGGAGAACCTGGACCAAATTCTGTTCCTGCATCAAAATTTTGACTTTTTAGAATCGATGAGAAACAGCAGCGAGACTCGGAACAGAACCGTGCACTGACGCGCCTGGAGGCGGGTGGGCGTGCGGAGCCCTTCCACAGCTCCGCGGGTGTTTAACCGGCTGGCGGAGCTTTCAGACACTGGCCCAACAGCCCCACCGCAGTTACCGGGTCTACGGCAGCGGCAGCCAGCGCCGAGTATTTTTCCAAACTCCTGCCTACGCGTTTTTGTCATCGCTTTGGCAATGCCCGCAGCGAAGAGCGAGCGTCGGAGGAGGTGTGAACACACCGCCTTCCAGCACTGGCTTTCTCATCCACCACGGAGCCTGCAGTCCCTGCTTTATTCCTCAGGCTCTCTTTTAATTCCTCTTTTTATTCCTCATTTGCTCCCCGCTCGAGACCTCCGCTCCTCCCTACCCACATCAGACCCACCCAGGGCGCGTAGCCCAGAGCCTGGCCCAGCCCTAAAGCCCCGGGCGCATCCTCAAGCTCCCTGAACTCAGGCACGATCCGTGCCCAAGTGTTTTTTTCGGACGTAAACAGGGCAAGCCAGGAGTTAAGAACAGGCTTGGACAGGTGCCGAGCCGCCAGCACAAATACGGGCCTGGTGACGTCATTATCCCACATGGATACAAGACACGGTTGTGCCAACACCCACAAATACCACGTTACGCGACCACAGCGCCTTGTTTTCCGATACCCGCAAGCGGAGGGTAGCCCGGAGGACGCAGCGGCTCGGCGGAGCTCACGTCGCCTGGGACAGCACACTGGGGGGTGTCCCGCAGCGAAGGGTGGGGAAAGACCCTCAAAATACATCAGCTTTAACTTGAAATCACCTCTGGGTTTTCCTCTGGGGTATGCTAATGAGCTATAATTGTAGCAAGCGGAGGTCAGTACCTTAATGTACATACATAATTAAGATCGCTCAGTGCTGCAACATCCCACTTTTTTTTCTTAAAAGAAACAGCCCCTCTCCCGCCCTCCCCCCCCCCCCCCCCCTTTCCCCCTTTTC